TCAGAAAGCTGTCCAACTCAATAAATAAGACTTCAGACGAAATTTTCGAGTTGATTTCCTCACTCAGTAGTTTATATGACACTGCATTCGAGGAGGATGAAAGCACTGCAAGAAAAATGAGGAGAGAAGAGGCTCACGAAATGTTTGTGAGATATCTCGGTGAAGGATATGATATTACCGAAATTATGAAATCAGTTGAGGGCACATCCAAAGATCAGAATAAAATTAATCGAACATTTATACACCTTGATATCCTTGCAGTTGACTCCAAAATGTACAGACGTTTTATTATCCTGCACATACAAATCGATTTTGATGAATTGCTCGGAGCTGTTGGCATTCAGAAAAACTCAGAATGGTTTCTGCTGCACTTTCAATTATGCACGAGAAGCAGACGATATACCCAGGTATTGATATTTATTTGTTCTCGAATCAATAAGCATTAATGAGTCTCGTCAAAAAAATAGTTCAGCTGATACGAATGACTACGTTAAGATACGTTCAAAAAAGATAGGCATCCCCGGTGTAGCCAATGGTTTGACAGTGATACTTGAACCATTCGTGGAAGACTATCTCTTTCCATTTCTACCAACGACCGGATGGATGGTAATGACAGATCACCTTCACCATCTCACCCAGAGTGATTAACCAATTTTTTTTTTATCACCCCAGATAACTATATTCAATCCTGGAGATTATCCAGATAATACGAGTGGAGGTGTATCAGAGGCAATAGTTGCCCCATCATCTGAGAGTTTTTTAGAACTCGATGTTAGTTCTTTCTACAGTGAAAATGAAATTCGATCAGTCTCAGCTAATCGTCGAAAGTGTATGTTCACTGATGAATCTAGTGATATGCAAACGGGATACACTTATAGTGATTGTATAGTTGATTGTCGAGCTACAGCTATTTGGAAAGCGTGCAATTGTCGGCCTTTCTTCCTGCCAAGACGTGGTAACGATGAATGTGAGGGTCTAAACGCCGCGGTTGATTCTTGCGCCAAGTATCTCTCCACATTTCTCCTCCATTACTGATCCCATTGAATCCATTTTGTTCTATCCATACTGTTGGAGGTACGCAAGAGTCGATTGCGGAGACATGCTTGACGCAATACTTCAATGGAAAAAAATAGTTTTGACGGATTGTAGCCATTGAGGTTTGACCTCTTTATTTTTATTCTTAAGCTACCTTCCGTTGGATTTTTAATCCCTTCATTTCTCGTTTCATTAGATGATTTAATGTATTACGGTTGTGGGAATAATAAAAGTGCTTTTTATTTGTCGCGTTACAGATTCCCGGAAGGTTTGTAACACAGAGGATGAGCCATGCCTTCGAGCCCACAAAAGTATGTGAAATTGATAATAATAATCTAGGAGTACTCATCATGAAATGCTGGAAGATTTTGTTTTCTCGTTGCAGGTGCCTGGTGGTCTGTTTTACCACACACTCCCGATGCTGAGGAATCCTCGAGTTACGATAAGGCGATTGGCGATGGAAATGAGTTTCTGAAGTGTACAAATTGTTATCCCGCGTGTACAGACACTCACTATTATCTGCAAATGCAAGCAACTCCACTCGAGCGCGGAAATC